GGAAGATCTTCTTCTCTGTCTCTCCTCTTTCCTCCTCTCTGTATATCTGACTTTGTAATAAAATAAATAAATAAATCTTAAAAAAAAAAAAAAGATTTGTTTGTTTCCTTCCCAGGTGTATTATTTGGGAGCTGGGTAGGAAGTGGAGTAGCAAGTGCAGGTGGTGGTCTTAAGGTTACGTCACAATGCTGCCCCAATGAGATGTTTTAAAGACGTTAAACTTGGTTGCAATGGAATGAGGGAGCAGGGCCTGAGAGGAAGAACCAGCTGCTGGACTGCCTTCCTCAGCCCAGTGTATCCTGACCTGAGAGAGTGCTGCTGTTTGTACTAACATAAGTTTGCCATGGTTTGCCAGATGGTTTACAAGTATAGATACAGGAGAATACAAAGTGGATTATGATAAAGATTTTACCAAGATGACTTAAGGAACATATATCAGACAAGTACATTTATTCTTTAAATAATTTTTCTGTTACAAAAACTTTAAGAGTCAGTTAAAAGTATAGCACTTCCTAACTAGAAAACACAGACAGTAATCTATGATAACAATTAAAAAAATTTTTTTGCAATAACTCCAGCTGGGAAAAAGCGGCATAAAACTAAGATCTATCATGTGCCCATTTCTCACCTGATCTTAAGAAATACTGAGGCCAAACAGTAAAACAACAAACACACATACCCACTCCCCCCTTCACTTTTTTTTCATACTAGAGAGGACTGTAAGAGTAAAATTTCAAACAATTTTAACAAAAAGACAGACATAGATGGTTACCACACTCACTCAATTTTAAGAGGCTAATGGGTCATAACGACATCTGGTATGGACCCTGACTCAAGAAGTTGTGCTGCATCCAGCCCTCTTGAGTCCCAGATGAGTACTCAAAACAAGCAAATTTGGATGATGAGGTACCTGTATTTAGGCAGAGGTCAGTGCAAATCCTGCCAGCCGGAAGCCAGGACTGGCAGCTGGGGCTGTGTTAATCATCACGGTGGCCTCCCCAGACGACCAAGCCAGGCTCCAGAACACAGGATGGCCACTACTCTCTGACTGAGGCCTCCAAAATGTTACAAAGTACAATATAGTTCATATCAGATAAATTTACAATTTACTAAGGGGTCTTTATAAACCAAGCTTGGTGTTAGCAGTACCTATTAAAAATTAGTAAGTGAAAAGTCAACAATGATAATTCAGTCTGAATTGAAACCCTGAGAGAAAAAAATTGATCATTACTGAAGACGCTGGTTTCAGTTATCCCAACAACATAAATTAGCCTAAGAGACAGGCAGTTGACAGCCTGGACTCATTTGCAAAACTGTAAACATTTATCCTTTCCTGGCTTTTGGCTTGCATTCCATTGTTGTTAAGCATTATCCTGTCCTGGAACTTTTGGAAATACAGAAGATTTCTGTATAAAAAAAAAATAGATTTTTTTGTAGTATTTTTTTGATATGACAAAATTTTGCCCCACTTGGCATCTGACAGTATCTTTAATATAATGCAAAAGCCTACTCAGTTGTTGTATCTACTAAATGAAACTTTTGAATTTTTTAGATGCATAGCAAGGATTTCAAGATTTATAATATCTAGTTGAAATAGGATCTCTTTATATAACACAATATAGATTAGATTTAATTATTGGCATTGAGTGATCACTAAATATCTGTAAAATAAGCACATAACTTATCAATCTTAAGCAATGTGAACATACTGAAAGGCAGAAAACACTAAGAGCACCTCAATACAGGAGCTTATCATATTCTGAGACACTTCAGCAAAGTCAGGTCTGGAGTTCACTGGAACTAACTAGAAAAAGTTAATCATTAATTAGATAAAAACATTTAAGAGAAGATGTTATAATAACAAGTGCTTTTAAAACTTTGTTGCTGTGACAGAGGATCAGATTTTAATTCCATACATCAATGATGAATATTTTAGAAAATGCTGCAAACACTGTTTTAAAGACGATGGTTAATTATATTGCATATAAATCATACAAGATGTATTTCTTGCACTTCCTCCATGGCTTCCCCATCCCTTCTTCAACAAACTTTATCCTGTAAATATTTTGTCCTCTTCGGCGTTGCAGTCTAACATAGCCATTCTCCTGTAGGACAGAATATTTTATAAGCCATGTCCTTTTTTCTTTTATCCAAAAAACTCTCCTTTGTAACCTTTTCATCAAGAACACATTTGTATACTTGCATTTATCCTTTTTGTTGTTGTTTTATTTTTTAAAGATTGATTTATTTTTATTACAAAGTCAGATATACAGAGAGAAGAGACAGAGAGGAAGATCTTCCGTCCAATGATTCACACTCCAAGTGATTGCAATGGTCGGTGCTGAGCCGATCCGAAGCCAGGAGCCAGGAGCCAGGAGCTTCCTCCAGGTCTCTCACACGGGTGCAGGGTCCCAAGGCTTTGGGCCGTCCTTGACTGCTTTCCCAGGCCACAAGCAGGGAGCTGGATGGGAAGTAGAGCAGCTGGGACATGAACTGGCACCAAGAGATGCTGGCACTTGGAGGCAGAGGATTAGATACTTGAAGTCATTGTGCAGATTCGAGGGTTTCTCTTTTTTTTTTTTTTCTTCCTGAAATATTTATTTTTATTGGAAAGTTACATTTACACAGAGGAAGATCTTGTGTCTGCAGATTCACTCCCCAAGTAACTGTAACGGCCCAAGCTGAGCTTTTCGAAGGCAGGATCCAGAAGCTTCTTCCAGGTCTCCCAGGTGGGTGCTAGGTCCCAAAGCTTTTTTGGTTGTCCTCAACGGCTTTCCCAGGCCAGATGCAGGGAGCTGGATGGGAAGCGGGGTCACTGGGACATGAACCGACACCCATATGGGATCCCTGGCATGCAAGGTGAGGATTTTAGCCACTAGGCTACTGTGCTGGGCCCTCTAGAGTTTAATTCAGTAATTTTCCATCTATTTAACCTGTTGGTTGTATTTCACCATTTTCTGATTTCAATTATTTAGTTGCAACTTGCTTTCTTTTCTGCCTCCTGTTCGTCTACTCTTTTTTCATGATGCCCTGTTCGTGCTCAGAGGATTAAGTTTTTTATTCCAGAACACTGCCAGCCTCCTTACTCTATCTAGTGAACAGCTGTTTCCTGGATGTTATATCATCTTTTATTGCACCTGCTGGTTTGTTTCTGAGACTAGGTTTCCTTGTGACTTTGATACTAGCTTCTTTTTTTTTTTAAGATTTATTTATTTATTGGAAAGTCAGATATATCAGAGAGGAGGAGAGACAGAGAGGAAGACCTTCTGTCCGATGATTCACTCCCCAAGTGACAGCAATGGCCGATGCTATGCCGGTCCAGAGCCAGGATCCAGGAACTTCTTCTGGGTATCCCACATGGGTGCAGGGCCCCAAAGCTTTGGGCCATTCTCAACTGCTTCCCAGGCTACAAGCAGGGAGCTGGATGGGAAATGGAGCTGCCGGGATTAGAACCGGTGCCCATATGGGATCCCGGGGCGTTCAATTTGAGGACTTTAGTCACTAGGCCACGCTGCTGGGCCCGATACTCGCTTCTAGTGGTTGTCTCTCAAGGGAGCTCCAAGTGTTAGCTTCTGCCCAATCCTTTGGGAATCACAGATCACAAACTGTTTCAAACCTATCAAGAAAAGCTTTGGAATAAAAATTTAAAAAATAGTTTGGAGATATGAAGTTACCATGAGCCCCCTGTTAACATCCCTTCTGCCTGTCAGCTTCCATAGTCTCAGCCCACGTAGCTACAACCTTCAGTGTAGTATATGCCAGCTTCCCAAAGGCCCAGAACTGTGTAGTATCAAGGCAGGTTTTTGCATAACGCCACTGCTGTACTCCATATTGGAGCACCCAGGTTCAAGACCAGATTAGGGGCCCCAGCACGATGGGCTAAATCCTGGTCTTACTAGTACTGGGATCCCATGCAGGCACAGGTTCATGTCTGGTCTGCTCTGCTTCCCATTCAGCTTGTGGCCAGGGCAAGGATTAGTACGTGGCTCAAAGCCTTGGAACTCTGCACCCACATTGGAGGCCTCAAGGTGGCCCTTGGCTTCTGGCTTTGGATTGGTTCAATTCCTGCTGTTTCAGACACTTGGGGAGTGAACCAGATAGATTTTTCTGTATCTCCTTCTGTCCATAAATATGCCTTTCCAGTGACAATTAATCTTAAAAAACAAAAACCTCAATTAGTTTCTGGGATCCTGGCCAATGCGGGCATTTGGGGAACTAATGGATGCAGGATTTCTGCCCTTCAAAAATGACAAAAAACAATTCTCCAAACCAGTCTTATGTAAAATGCACATTATCATTTTCAAACATCTGTTCATTTAAAAGGGTGGACGACACATCTTTTTCTGGTTCATCCTCCCAACTTCCCTTGGTTTCAACAGCCAAGGCTGGGGCAGGCTGAAGTCAGACAGGAGCTCCCACAGGTGGGTCACGGGAACCAAGAGCAGTGGCCTGAACTTAGGACTCAAACCAGCATGTGATGGGGAGTGTTCCAAGCAGTGGCTAAATGCGCTCCACCGCCACACCCACTTGAAGTCAGAGTAACTACCATCTATTGGTTCAGTCCTTAGATTTCTAGACCCAATTATTGAACATGTATGGCTGGTAAAACTGAGAATGAGGACCCAGCACAAAGGCCGAGTTTTCAAAGCCCTTGTCTTGAACTCTCTGGGATCCCACATGGGCATTGGTTCTAATCCCCAGCTTCCCTTCCAGCTCCCTGGGACAGCAGGCCCAAAGCCTTGGGGCCTTGCACCTGTGTGTGTGACCTGAAGAGTATCCTGGTTTTCTTTCAGCTCTGCTCTGGCTGTTGAGGCTGCCTGGGGAGTGAGCCTTTGGACAAAAGATCTTCCCATCTCTTCTCTCTGTATACCTGACTCTCCAACTCCACCTGTTAAATAATCTCACGTATGCCAACTATTTTGACTGTTTACTGGTGGGTGTCACTCTCCACTCCCCTTAATCTTGTACCACATCTTGTTTCCAATGAGACCAATCCATTATTTACTTCAAATAGTTTTATTGAAATCTTTAATTAGGCACTTGCACGAAACAAAAATCAAGCTTTCTACTTGACATGTTTGGGCCTCAGAATTTCTTTCCAGTATTTTTGCATTTGTCGATAACCACTCAGGAAACACCCAGAAGGCTTCAGTTCTGAAGATCTATTCCACACGAGAAGACATCCTTGTCAGCCAAATTCTGCAACTTCACAAATGGAACATGTGTTAGAACCATGGTAGCAACCAGCAGGGAAACCACACTGCAAGGGACATGCCCCACAGGGTGCTGGGGAAGCCGGAGTGGATCAGGTGGTTTTAAAGATCCTCAGAGAAAGCTCAGAGACTCTAGTCCAACGAAGTCATCATTACCACTCCACCGGACAACCAAAGGCAATGACACTTACTGCTGCCGCGGAAGGGCTTCCTCTCCACCCGTCACAGCCCAAGGATGAAACAGCAGCAGGAATCATCACATAGCCAGGCCTGTCTGTATGACTAATGGGCTAGCTCCAAAACTTGCATGAAGGGACACTACCCCAGCTGGGGTCCCAGAGCTCTCATCCTAGAAAGACACAAGTAGAATTACTAAGAATGAGAACCATGGCTCTCCCTTGTGCCCCCCAGGAAGCCAAGTATCCAGTCTCCTAAATGAGTCAGAACTTAAGTTTGACATCAGGACCAGTGTCAGAGACTCTAGTCTGTGAGATCATCATTCCCAGTTTAGAGACTTGGATCAGGGCAGCCAAAGTAGGAAATGGATCCAGTGTGAGTTCCAGCGAGGGGCTGGGGCTTACATTGTGGGGTAGGATAACCTGCTTTTTGATTTATGACAGCATCCCATCAGAGTACTAATCCTGACCATTCTGCTCCTGACAACTAACGCCAAATATACCCGGAAAGATAATCCAAGCGTTCATCTTCCACATGGACTCCAAGACTGAATTCCAGGTTCCCAGCTTTGACCCAGACCTGGCTGCTGTGGTCATTTTGCCAGTAAACCAGGCAGATGCAGTCACTATCTCTACACATCTGTGCTAAACAGATTTTTTTTTTTTTTTTTACAAATCTCAGAAGGAAGATGTAGAGAATAAATTTAAAACTGCAAAGGTGCCCAAGGCCATGGGGGTGGGGGGCACCAGACCTTAAATCCACCGATTCCCCCCCGCCCCCAAATGGTGGAGACAGGCTCAAACAGAAGCCCAGGCTATTAAATACAAGTTAGAAATCCAGCCACAGCTACAAAGAAAAGAGGGTCCGAGACCAGGTGGAATATTCATATTGTTCCACAAGCTCATTCACATCAGGCAGATCCAGGATGCGGGTTATATCACTGGACGGGAGGCCGCGCATCCCACACCAGACTGCTGGGTAGCTCTAGCCATTGCACTTCCAAACTCCCAGCTTAGGTGCTGGTTCAAGTTCCAGCCACCCACAAGGGAGAGGGACGGATTTCCGGTCCCGGCAACCGTTTCCCGAGTAACCTAGGGGATAGACCAGCCCCCCAGATAACACTCACCTTTGCTCACTGATAACACGGGAGAGGGCGGTCCTGCAACCCCTAGTAGGGAAAGAAATACCACCATTAGCAACGGAGCCCCTCCTGCCACCAACCTCCCCCAGCCCAGGGCCTAGGACCCCAACCTCGGGGGCAGAGGGCGGTCAGCGCGCTGCGGTGATGGCGTCAGCGATGGCACTCAGAATCACCTAAGGTCATCATTACCCTCGTGGTCCCACATGAAGGCGGCCAGGCACCCGCGCAATCCACTCACCACCCATCAGGACGCTGCGGGCCGGCCAGCGCGGAAGGGGAGCCTGTAAAGACATTGTGGCATTAGCAGGCGCAGAGGACACCCCAGCGTCGTCCCCCGGCGCCCCGGGCTGGGTCAGTTCCAAGCAATGGCGTCACGGACACCTCAGAAACTCTAGTCTGTTATAGTCGTTCATCCCGCTCAGCCCGGGACTGCACTCCCCACCCCCGGCGGAGCCCCGCGGCACCTGCGGGAGGGCGTCTGCGGCCGGGGTCGGGCCCTGGCCTTCCGCACGCCCCCGAGACCCCATGATGCCGCCGAGCACGATCCCACCACACAAAGAGGCCGACCCGCCCCGCGCGGGCTATTTAAGGCCACGCCGCGCCGGGGGCCTGAGGACCATGGCTGTCTTCCTGCATGCCTGGCTCGGCGGGCAGCGTCTTGTGCGTCGTTTGTCTAAACCGGAATAAAACAAAGCGAAAGGAAAGGCCTTGACCGTACGTTGTACAGATTTCACAGGCATGTTGCAACTATTTGAAGGTTTTTTTGTGAAATTTGAAAAGCAGGCACAAATAAGGCCCCTGCGGCCGCTCCCGCGAGAGCTCGGCGCCGCCCGCGGCTCGTTGAGGTGGGTGGGGCGGACTTTCTCCGTCCTTCTGGGGGGGTCCCTGCTTGGGGTCCGTACCCCCCACCCAGCTCCCAGCTGCCCTGTCCCGACTGTTCTCCCTTCTTCTGTGGGAGGTGCCTGCTTGGGGTCTGTGCCCCTCACCCGGCTCCCAGCTGCCCTGTCCCGACCGTTCTCCCTTCTGGGGGTCCCTGCTTGGGGTCCGTCCCTTCCCCCACTCCCCCCGACTCCCAGCTGCCTTGTTCCGAATTGCCCCCCTCCCCTGCACTGGAGATACACACCTGTCACACTCCTTCAGCTTTGAGCCTTTTAATTTTTAAAATGACTTTATTAAACTGCCTATGTTTGAAAACGATTTTTTGAAGTTTAAATTTAAAATATTTGTTTTAGGAAATTGTGCATACTTATGGCTTACCGTTTGATAACTATATTTGCATAATGTACAGTAAGTCAATTAGCATTTCTGCCTCTTTAATCATATATCAGTTTTTTTGGCATTGCACTTTTCAAACTCCTCTCGGTTTTTAGAAAATATGGAATAAATTGTTGTAATAAACTGTAGACACGATCTTTTCAGGAGTGTTAAGTACAGTGTGTCTCCAAAACGTTTTCATCTTCCCCAACTTGGAAAGCTATACCCATTCAACACTGCTTCCTGTTTTCTCTGCTTCCTGTCCTTTTAATGTGTAGTGAGTGGTCTGGGACCACAATGGTGGAAGCATTCAGCACCCTCTTACTAGCACAGGCCACAGGGGAATTGGAAGCCGGGGCCCAACTGGTGTGCAGTGGCAACAGCCAGGCCTCATCCTCTGCTTTCCCCTCTTCCTCACTGTTTTGCTCTTGCCACCCAATCCCTCCAACTCAAATTCCAGATTGTACCTTGTAGACCCTTCACGATTCCCCTTTGTTTATAAATGCATATATTTCTAATGGGGCATGTTTATCTTTGTTGAAAATTCTATCAGAGGATGAAATGGGGGAGCTAAGCCATACAGAATCGGTCATCCTTTGCACTTCTGTAACACAGGTGCAAGAAGCTAAGAGTAGCATTTGGAAGGAGGTCACTGTGGGCACAGCAAACCTCTCTCATCCCTTGCAGTTGTTTTGGTTTCTCCTCTTCAAGCATCAAGGTTTGAGCCTTATATAAAATATACGAAGTTGTCTTCTAAGACTTCTGTGGTAACCACTTATTTGATGAATTTCAGCACAGCCACAGGCCAAGGTCCACCTGGGGTGATATTCCAAATTATTTTGAGTCAACAACCTGTGTATGTGTACAAACAGGCCATGATTTCTCCCATTCAGATACTGCTACTTGTCAGACCTAAGAAGGGAGCCCCAAATTTATTCCGCCAAATCCCAAAATTATTCAGCTCATTGTACTGTAGCTGGAAATTTCCCATCCTCCCTTTCCCACTTCCTAACCCTCTTATACATAAAATCAACAAGAGCCTCTCCTTGACTGGTTTCTGTCAACCTGTGCTGCACTCTAGAAATACTGGGCAGCTTTAAATACAAATACAGACTAAGATTTTGAAGTGGCCTGACAGTTGTATTTTTTTATGTTTTTCCTCCACTTGATTTATTCTACCACTAGAGTAGAATACCATGGCTTTAACAGCTTGAAGCGAAGGAATTGCTCCTCCTACTGCATGTCACTTAAAAGACAAAACAAAACAAAAACATGTTACTGGCAAAGCTTAGTGGGTTCTTTCCTTGGCTGAGAATGGAAATAAAAAGCCAGGAAACAAGTACAAGTATAATAATTCTTTACTCAGAGCAAAGCGGCAGGAAGTGTTGCTGCAAGAAGGAGTAGGGAAGTGAAAAGGCTGACTGGATAATGGCTTTAAGGGAAATGACTTGGGCTTTTTTAAAGTTTTGTTTTGTTTTTCTCCCTTTCTTTGAACCTAGGGAACAACGTATGGGATCCAGGTGATGGCCTTAGGAGATATCTTGAATGAGAGTAGTCAGGTGACTGTCTTGTCCTGTCTGGGAGCATGGCCAGCAGCCTCCCACTCCCTAGGTCTGGGCAGAGAAGCAGAGGGAGACTCTCATTGCCTTGGTTGTCATGGCAACTCAAGGTCTAATATGTGCAGTGAACAGTGTGAGATGCAGTCCAAGAACTGGGTAACCCCCTCTCCTCCTCCAACACCTAGACCTTGTCTCAAAACACAAATAAATGGACGTGGTACAATAGCCTAGTGGCTAAAGTCCTTGCATGCACCAGGATGCCATATGAGCAACTTACTGTTCCTGCTGCTCTACTTCCCCTCCAACTCCCTCTTGTGGCCTGGAACAGCAGTTGAGGAGGGCCCAAAGCCTTGGGACCCTGCACAAATGAGAGAGACACAGAAGAAGCTCCTGGCTCCTGGAGTGAACCAGCTGACAGAAAATCTGTCTCTTCTGCTCGCTGTAGATCTATTTTTCCAATAAAAATAAATAAATCTTAAAAACACAAACAAACAAAAAAGTCCCAATTCTTATTGCAGCAGTTAAATATTTAGTATATGCTGTGGTCAGGGACAAGAGCTTCATTAATTATTACCACTGTTACTAAGCTTTTGAGAGTTGGCTCAGAAACCAAAGTCAGGTTTTCCAAGAGTGTTTCTGTATTTTATCATTGCTAAAATATTTCCACCACAAAGAGAGGATTTAATGAAGCTGGAACATGCATGTGAAACAAACTGTTTCTGACATACTTCCAGGCTGTAATTTGGTGAAAAGGGATATTTGATTTTCTCAGGCTGGCGGTATGTGAAGGATTCCACCTGCTTCAGTAGGAAGCTCCCCTCAGGATTGTCGGAGATAAAGCCACATGACCTTAATACTCCAAAGCTGTGTTTACAGCTTTTCTCTTCCTCTCCTGCAAATTAAATTTACTATTGTTATACCTATACTGTTATTAGGTCAGCCTTAATTAAGAATCTAACCTAAAACAAATCATAACAGCTTGGACAGGATCATGAAGTAGAGAAAAATGTTTGCAACCTATTCCATACCTAATGCATGTCATTTACCAACTCAGTGAACACACGACAAAAATATCCACAGCCATGTCCCCAACTACATGCATCTCCCTATGTGGCACTGTCTCAGCTACAGCATGGAGACTCTATATAACTCATCCACAAACAAGAAGAGACTACATCTTCAGGACTTTACTTTTAAATCTCTGAATAAAAATATTATAAAATTAAGGATGCTTAACAATGAAGTGTTTTACAATGCAAAAGCTGTACAGAGGGTGGCAGTGTGGGTTAATCTGAGGAAGAAAAAGACATTATGGTACAAAACTTGAAAAAACTGCAAAGTTTCCAAAAGTTTCCAAAGAACACTCTACAAGAATAACTATGCCACAGTTACTGTGAGGTTAGAACCTCACTTTAGAAGGAAGGAACTTAACCAGTACAGACTGACCGACAAAAAAGATACATATTTTCTATATATGTCATATATCTATTTGACAACACAGTCCCTTCGTCCCAGTTGCACGGCTCCGAGGGAGGCCAGGCCCCTAGTCGACCTCCTCAATGGTGGGGCCAGAGCCAGAGCCAGAGCCGCCCTTGGGCCCGTGGGCACCAAAGCCCCCAGCGGCCCCAGGGCCAGCCGCGCCCTGGTACAGGCCGCTGATGATGGGGTTGCACAGCTGCTCCAGCTCCTTGCGCTTGTGCTCAAACTCGTCCTTGTCGGCCAGGCTGTTGGCGTCCAGCCAGGCGATGACCTCCTGGCACTTGTCCAGCACCTTCCTCTTGTCGGCCTCGCTGATCTTGCCCTTGAGGCCGTCGTCCTCCACGGCGCTCTTCATGTTGAAGGCGTAGGACTCGAGGGCGTTCTTGGCCGCCACCCTGTCGCGCTGCACCTCGTCCTCGGCCTTGTACCTCTCTGCCTCCTGCACCATGCGCTCGATCTCCTCCTTGCTGAGCCGGCCCTTGTCGTTGGTGATGGTGATCTTGTTGGCCTTGCCGGTGCTCTTGTCGGTGGCGGTGACGTTGAGGATGCCGTTGGCGTCGATGTCGAAGGTCACCTCGATCTGGGGCACGCCCCGCGGCGCCGGCGGGATGCCGCTGAGCTCGAAGCGGCCCAGCAGGTTGTTGTCGCGCGTCATGGCGCGCTCGCCCTCGTACACCTGGATCAGCACGCCGGGCTGGTTGTCCGAGTAGGTGGTGAAGGTCTGCGTCTGCTTGGTGGGGATGGTGGAGTTGCGCTTGATGAGCGCCGTCATCACGCCGCCCGCCGTCTCCAGCCCCAGCGACAGCGGCGCCACGTCCAGCAGCAGCAGGTCCTGCACGTTCTCCGACTTGTCGCCCATCAGGATGGCCGCCTGCACGGCCGCGCCGTACGCCACCGCCTCGTCCGGGTTGATGCTCTTGTTGAGCTCGCGCCCGTTGAAGAAGTCCTGCAGCAGCTTCTGCACCTTGGGGATGCGCGTGGAGCCGCCCACCAGCACCAGGTCGTGGATCTGCGCCTTGTCCAGCTTGGCGTCGCGCAGCGCCTTCTCCACGGGCTCCAGCGTGCCGCGGAACAGGTCCGAGCACAGCTCCTCGAAGCGCGCCCGCGTGATGGACGTGTAGAAGTCGATGCCCTCGAAGAGCGAGTCGATCTCCAGGCTGGCCTGCGTGCTGGACGACAGGGTGCGCTTGGCCCGCTCGCACGCCGTGCGCAGCCGCCGCACCGCGCGCTTGTTC